CTCCTCCTCTGGGGGCCAAAGTCCTCTTTATTAAGTCCCAACGGGGACAACGCATGAACGAGGATCCAACTAACCGAACTGATGCCTGCCAGAGAAGGCACCTGGAACAGGGTGACAGAGGATTTTATAGGACAGGAGGGCGGGGAGAACTAGGACCAATGGGAATCCGAGGGGAGTGACTCGCTCTTGGGGAAGGGCCAATAGGATGGGGATGTGGGAGGGGCCCCAGGGCCTGACCCAATCACCCCATGCCCTGGATGGAAGATTCTGGATGGAGGGGCAGGGACGCCGGATGACGGACAGGGACCCTGGGAGGGGATAGGGGAATGACTCTGCACTTTTTGGGGAAGATTGACAGGGGAAGGAAGGTGGGAAACCGGGGATGAAACCAACATAATGGGGGGGGGGGGTACATGGAACAAACCAAGTACAATATAAGTGAACATGGAACAAACCGCGTACATTATTTTAATGCAATAAAACGTAAATAGAACGTAAAATAACACAACTCTACAGTATTCTGATCATCAGGTTGGGTGAACAGATTGTTGCTGTCATCTACTACTGACTGCTCTGCTATTTTTTTGCTTGGATGGAGCACTGTACTGTTCCCTGGTGGAGAGTCAGGAAACCTACTACTATTGCAAGTGCATTAGCCACATAGAATGTTTTAAACCATGTGAGGCCCAAAACCCACACCAGTTACTGAAAAGCAATCCAAAACTTGCTGTATTCATAATTCACAAAGAGCAAACTGTAATGCCTTTGGAGTGAAAAAAATAGATAATATCTCATCTGAATTACAGCATCTGATCTGCAACTGAAATCCTCTGACTCAAACTGATTTAAAACCAAAACGAAGTACCTAGTCTTTTAACATGACAGCAGGGTGCTCTTTCTGTTCCATTAAATGCATCTAATTGCAGTCCAAGTATGCACAGGCTCCTTCATCAATATATAATTTCTTATATATTGATATATAGTTTTTCAAAGCATTGTAAAGAGAAAGAGAATGAGTCAGACAAGTCCAAAAGACATGCTGATTGATCCTCAAATCAGTATGTTTTAATGTTCCCTTAGAAGAGGGAGTTTGAAGGCAGATACTGCATAATAAATATTTCCTTTCTTGTTTCATTTTTTAGAGAATTACCCGATCTAACTCAGAGCAGCACCAATAAAAAAAAGTGAAATAAGAAAACAAAAAAACTCACTGTTTAAAGTACTTTTTACACTGTTGGGAAATATTTAATAAAAAAACCCATCATCTTTTACAGGAACAGAAAGATAGGGCAATTCCAGACCTCAACTGGAAGGAGACAAATAAAAGTAATAAAAAAGGGGTAAGAAAAAGTTAACACCAATAATCACAGTATTAACCTTTCCTTCAATTACATTAACTCAAACCATAAACCATCCCAGTTTGTTCTCACCTTCAAGTGCCTCCTTTATCAGAGGATTTGCTTCTTCAACTGTTCTATTAGAAATGCTGTGAGAGAAAATGCCTTGAAACTATTTACTTATACTTTCCCTATACTGCAGTTAATTCAGTGCACAAAACAGTATCCATAGAATACTGGGGAAATGTCTGATTTAAGTCTAAAGTAGACATTATTGATACTAGTCTTACCTTAAATACATTGAATCTAGAAGGGCTTATTTAGAAAAAATTGTCTGCCTCAGCTAAGTCTACACTAAACTTCCAGATAATTTCCCATTATCGTAAAGGAGGAAAGACTTCTTTTCATTTTGAACTTGCCATTCAAGAACTGATCCAACCATCTAGTTTATTTTTCTGCTTGGAACAGCAGGAAACAGTGAGTATGCCAAAAGACTGCAAGAATGTCAAACAAAGAAAGCATTATGACCTGCATGAATCTCATTCTAATCTCTCACACTAGTTTGAACTCAGGAATGTGGAGCTTCATTTATCTGACAGTTGTTCCAGTTATGATTACCCCAGGTAAATTATTACTTCCGCATACATTCAATTATTTGAAGGATAATTATACTTTCTAATATAGCTATATATGGGTACCAGTTTCTTGTGTCAGCATTAACCATTTTATTGATTTCTCGTGATAGTGAGCTCCATTGTTCATATAATTGTTTACATTACAAAGTGTTACAAAAAGGAGTTAACATAGCAAATTCATCATAGAGAGAAGATACAATGCCCTCACCAGGGCCTCTTGAAGGTTCAGGTGAAGTTCAAAGCATCTGAATAGGAATGCTTAGGTTAATTACCTATTACACTGAATACACAGAATCTTGTTTCCACTAGGTGTTGCTCTATATAAAGCATGATACATCCCCAACATATTGTTGAATATTATGAGCTAGATTTCTAAAGTAAGAAATTGTGACAAATTGACAATGGTTATTTCAAACACTCTTCCAAACATTTTTGAACAAGGAAAATTGAGTCATGCCTTTTTTCACCAAAGCGCACAAGCACTTGTGTGAATGTTTCAGATTTCCAAAAGTCAAGCTAAGGCTATCATTAGTGCTTGTCCTGACTGTCAGCTTGTGGAGCCTCCTGTTTCTACAGGAGCAGTCAACCTGTGAGGCTTGCAAAGCCTGCAGTTATGGCAAACGGATATCACTAAATATCCTTCTTTTGATAAATTTAAAAATATTCGTGTTTCAGTGGACACATTCTCTGGTGCAGTTTTTGCTTCTCTTCACACAGGTGAAACAGGTAATCATGCCTGTAACCATTTTTTGCAAGCTTTTGCTTTGTTGGGTGTGCCCAAAGAAGTAAAAACTGACAATGGTCCCGCATATATATCTCAAAAATTAGCTTTATTTTTAAAAGATTGGAGTGTTCGCCACATTTTTTTTGTATTCCTCACACAGGGCACCATTTATTGCTGGCCAGGGGCTATGTACAAATCATGAACGAGATGGGACTGCTGTGGATTGCGTCTCGAGCTGTTTATTTTTTAGAACCAGTCTCATTACATTGTTATTACAATGGGAAGATGCCAGCAGCTCACATACCAGGTAGGCATCCTGCTCCAGCCTTTGCTTGTCCTACCTACCTGACGCCCCTACCTGCTTTGTCCCTGCCTACCTCATTCCTGCTTGAGCCACCTGCTTCCAACGCTCCTTTGCCAATACTGCCTGCTGCTGCAATCCCACTGCAACCCTGCCCAGGGGTCTGTACCTCCTGCCAAGTACACCTTCTCCTCATATCTGACCTGTAGACGTAGAGCTGTGCCTTCCTTTGAAGCTGCACCTCTCTGACAGCTGCACAGGCTTCCCCCAGCAGGTAGAGTATGCACACTCCCTGCCAGTTAGACGTCAATGGTGCATTCTGAGCTGCTGGGGGTAATGCTCACTTTTTTGCTCTCTCTCACCTCTCTTTGTCCCTTTCCTTTTCCTTCCTCCTTTCCTGCTTTTTCTATTCTTTAGTAGGCCAACACACGTTTTGTTAGGAATTAACAATGTTTGCTTGGTTTGTGCTTAACTCTGTCCTAAAAAAATCTTTTGTAAAAGAACCTTCCAAAATTTCCTACTGTGTAATGTGGCAATAGGATAATTTTTTTATTTCAATGCTGAGATTACGAAAAGGGTAGAGTTATGATATAGATGGAACAGCCATCTAATGCCAGAATATAAAAGAAATATTTTGAAAGAGAACAGATTCCTTGGATTAGAGTGTGAGGAACAAAAGGCAAACCCAGCTTTCCTACCTTGAGGAAAACTTCCACAAGTTGTTTAGTATTAACACAGAACTGTCAAGGTAGACACCTTCAAGGTCACCCAGTCCACCCATCTACCCAGCACTGCCCCTGTAACCCTAAATAACTAAGTCATATCATCCAGTGCCAGAGCCAGAAGCCTCTCAAACACCTCCAGGAATGGTCACTCTACTACCCCCCTGGGTTACCTTTTCCAATGCCTGACCAGCTGAACAGTGAAAATATTTTTTGGGGGGATCTGATCTGAATCCCCTCTGTGTTACACTGCGCTCAGGCCATGTTTTCCTCCCATTCCCCGGGGACCCCTGTGACTCTGATCAGATAAGCCTGGGCTCCTCCTTCATGCCCCAATGGGGTTGGCAGAGAGCCAAAAGAGCCCTCCCTGTCTAGAGCCTAGATAAGGCAATGACCCTTCCTGTTAGCTCTCTTTCTCCTGCTCTTCCCCTCGGACCACACAATGAAGAGCTGGACAACTACATTGGGGTGAGAGCCTCTTTTGGAAATCTTTGCCCATCTCCTGATGTTCCTCCCCTCAAGGCCTCATATCTCTGGGCTAGCCTGATAATTTAGGGGCTGAGAGATAGGAGAAACGTCAGTTGGCCCCCAACGTGAGTGGAAAAGCCCATGCAGGAGCTGGAGACCTTATGTCAAAGGATCTCAATAGCTCTTTGGGACAGTCAACTGCCTTGTTACTCTACATGCCTTTAAAGGCTTTGAATGGCAGGGAAAAGTTGGGACCTTGCCTGAGTACCCCAGGCGAGCCGGCTGGAGACGGGACCCCAGATGACTTCACGCACAACCCCACTTCATAGGACTGGTAAGAACCCCTTTGATCGCGTTTTTCCGGGACCGACCATGTCTAGATGGGAGGGATTACCATGGGAAGCAGTGACCTTGGGAAGCTGCCCGCAGGCTAAGTCAGAAGCAGCGTGCGTAGCTTGAAACGGGTAGGCTGCTGTGGCAGAGCAGAGCCGTCTGACCGAGACAACTCGCGTTCCTGGGGTGGGGAAGTGACAGGATGGGGTCTGGAACTCTGGGACAGCGTCGGGGAATCCCCCTGCCCCAGGAAAGCCGAGAAAAGAGAGCAGGAGCCGCTCCGGCGGTGGCGCGGCACGCCCCCCCTCGCCACGCCGATTCCAATTCCCATGCTAACGGCGGGGAATTCGAAAAATCGTGCTGTTGTAAAAGTCTGATGGAGGATAGACCATCAATATGATTAAAAAAATGGGTGTAAAAGTATCGGTGGAACACAAGAGCACACTAAAACCCCTTAACAATACTTTAAACAATGTAACATTCCCAATTGAAATGAACGGGGTCTATGCCTTTATTAATAGTCAGCTCTTTATTAAAAAGTCAGCTCGGCAGGGGGCTCAACAAGGAGCTCGCCCCCGCTGTTGTAGCTTCTCCGGCCGCCGAAGGGTGAGCAGGCGTGCAGAGTCTGTCCCTGGAGTCTCCGTGGCACGCTGGTAGCTGGAGGTGAAGAGGTGTGCAATCCGTATCTGAAGTCCCAGCAGACCGTCCTCTCTCCTTTCCTCCCGGCACACTGGTGGCTGCAGGGTGGGGGGATGCGCAGAGCCTGCTGCCAAAGCCCAGCAGCAGCTGTCCCTCTCCTTCCCTCCTGGCAGCACCAGGAAGTGTCTGACTGCTTTGCTCCTGCTTCCCACAGCCCAGTCCAGTCTCGTCCTCTGTAGGTTATGGTGACAGGTCAAACACAGACTAGGGATGGGGTTCCCTTTTCCCCAACCAGCACACCCATCTAGCCCCCTCCACTGTGCCCATCTTTTCCATTTAGGGGTGTTTTTCATCCCCAAAACCCCCTCCCATGATTCCACTGGATTATTTTGCATCCCAGTCCTAGAATGGTAGTGAGGGTGGGGGGAGGTAGGTGATTCCCAGGAACAATTAGCTAATTAACATTTCAATGTCAGTACTTAGCCCAAGCCAAGTGTCCCAGCCAGGCTGTTTTGTTCATAACAAATCCCTCCTCTAATTCTTTGATCGGGCTTAAGCCCGCATCAACTTACAGTCTCTGGCTTTTGAGGGTTAGCTTCTTTGGGTAATTCTCTTAATTTTGTATATCAGCTTTTAGCAAGTCTTCTTTAAAGTTACCTTTAAGTCTTTTGGTTCCTTAATACCTGTCTAGGCACAGGAGGAGGTGGGTTGGGTGACCCTCTAAAGGGCACTTATTCTTATTAAACAGTTACAAAGTACTTAAACTTTGACAAGGGTATTTTAACTCAGAAGCGGTTATTACCACCTTACCGTATATCAGCTTCTAGCAATACCGTTTCTGCACAAGAGGAGGTGGGTGACACTGTTGGGTCTGGTTTGGCGTCTGGGGATGGTCCTGGTCCTTTTACTCTGGGGATATGGATCCAGCCTTTTTCTTGGGTTCACATCGCAGTGTGTGGTGAGTAACACCTGGAAAGGTCCTTCAAATTTGGGGGTTAGTGGAGTGGTGGTGTTCCAGGATTTTATTAACGCCCAGTCCCCGGGACTGATGTTGTGGGCATTGGTATCCAGAGGGGAGGTTTGGGGAAGATACCCCTTCTTTCTGAGGCCTTCTAGGGATTTTCTTATGATTTTAAATATTTTTAAGTTACTACCTCCCCTTTTAAATAATCTGCAGTACTGAAAGGGGTAGTTAGAAAAGGGAGTCTGAACATCATTTTATAAGGAGAAACCCCCATGTCGGACCGAGGTTGAGGTCTGATGCGCAAGAGAGCAAGAGGTAAACACTTGAGCTAATTCATTTTTGTCTCTTTAATTAATTTGGTTATTACTTTTTTTAAGAGTTTTATTCATTCTTTCTACCTTTCCCGAGCTTTGAGGATGCCATTGGGTGTGCAATCTCTACTTTATCTCCAGGGCTTTTGTTACTTGATGCAAAGTTTGAGCAACAAAATGTTGACCTCAGTCTGAGTCAAAGTTATTGACTAGCCCGTATCAAGGTATGATTTTTTCTAAGATTATTGTTGTGACTTCTTGCACAGTTTCCTTTTTGGCTGAGAAAGCCTCCACCCACTGAGTGAGATGATTTACCATCACTGGTAAATGCTTGTTCCTCTGCACAGAGGGCATTTCAGTGAAATCTACTTGTATGTTCTGGAAAGGTCTTAAAGCAAGTTTTCTTCTCCCATGTGCTTGTTTTCTCATTACCTTTTGGTCAGTTTTCAGGCAAATCGCACACCTTCTTGTAATTGCTTTTGCCAGGTCATACGCGCCAATATATAAATTCTCCCGTAAAAAAAAGTGGTTGCACAAACTTTGGATTCCCCAGTGGGTCAATTCATGATTTAAACTACCTTTTATCTTGTGGGATAATCTTTACCCTTCATAGGACTTGCAAGTCTCTTCTTAAGAGATTACTTTGGCCTTCCCTTTCATTCCTAAAACCTCACAGACTTTCTTCCCAATGTTGACTCTTACTGGTAACTTGTCCTGGACTTATCTACCCTTGTGTTAACTAAGAACTCAAAATCTTCTTAGTGGGGACTTACTTTAAAGTTTACCAAGGGCTCTTGTTGATGGTTGATTATATCTCTTTGCTTATTGAACTCCCAACACCCCTAGTCATCTCCCCTTGAAATCTCTTCTAAGACTTTTTGTTCTTTTTGCATTGCTTCATTAAACTGAAACATAAGACACATCTCACGACAGTAATAGCACCTCCTGTTGAAGGAGGTGAAGCTTCAGGTTTCTTAAAGTCATTAAAGTTCTTATTTGTTTCATATGATGGTGCTGGTTGATCTCTATTTCTTTGGTAACAGCCCTGGTCTATTCCAACTTGACTTAGATGGCAGTGCTGGTGACCTGCCTGCTCTTATACTTTCTCAAGCAACTGCAACCATAAGTCTAGCTTTAGTTTTGGCTTTTTCTTCTTCTTTCTTTAAATATAATCTTAGGGCTTCTAGGTGTTGGTTTAGCTGATTATGTATCTACTGATCTTGGGTTCTATACTATGGCCACTCTCCCTGTAATTTTAACTTTGGCCATACTTCAGTACTCTTGTCTAGACCCTTTGTGGTTTCCCAAGAATCCCGTTGGTCTAAAAATTGCCCTAAGGGCATGTTAGGAAGAATTCTCTTTGCTTTCTCTTTTGAAGGATCCACTCCTTTGCTTTAACTTATTCCCATTTCCAGGCCTCAGAAGGATAGAAAAAATCTACCTTAAATGGTGCTCCCCTCTAAAATGGAATATACAGATATGCAAATACAGTTTATCTGGCTCCTTCCCACAACTTAGTATTTTAAATCTCTTGACTGAACTTAATCTCTTCTAGTTAACCTCCCACTCTTGGCATTTATCTCTGTCACTTGCCTAGGATAACCACTAATCATACTCACATATATTGTCTTTTGTTTTCCTGTTCTTTCTGGACTTCTTGATGGACTTTCTAGGCTTGGACCCTAGGTAGGTCTCGCCCCAGTTCTTTACTTGGCCTTTTGCCCAACCTCCTTACTAGGCTTAGGAAGCTTGGTCTCCCTGCCGAGGTAAGGTCGAACGTCCTGCCGAGCCTTACACTCGAACTCCGGCCAAGTCCCTTCGCCTGACTCCCCTACTAGGCTTAGCCTGCTTGCCTTTCTACTCGCTTCCTTACTTGCTTACCTACTCTGTCTTCCCCGACATGCCTCCTGTCTGCCAGAACATGTACCCTGCCTGCCAAGACCTACTCCCTGCCTGCCAGGACATTCCCCCTGTCTGCCAGGACACGCCCCCTTCTTGCCAGGACCTGTTCTTTGCCTGTTATCAATTGCCCTACCTGCCAGGACATGCCCCCTGTCTGCCAGGGCCTGGCCCTACCTGCCAGGACATGATCCTGCTGTCAGGACCTGCCCCCTGCCTGCCAGGACCTGGCCCTGCCTGCCAGAACATGTACCCTGCCTTCCGGGACCTGCCCCCTGCCTGCCAGGACATTCCCCCCTCTTGTTAGGACATGCCCTACCTGCCAGGACCTGCCTCCTGCCTGTTAGAACATGCTCCCTGTCTCCCAGGACATGCCTGCTGCCTGCCAGGACATAACCCTGCCTGCCAGGACATGCCCTCCCTTGCCAGGACCTATGTCCCCTTCTTCCCAGGACATGCCCCTGCCTGCTAGGACATGCTCCCTTGCCTGTTAGGGCACGCCCTCTGGCTGCCAGGACATGCCCTGTCTCCCAGGACATGCCTGCTGCCTGCCAGGACATGCCCCCTGCCTGTCTGCCAGAACATGCCCTCTTCTTCCCAGGACATGCCCCTGCCTGCTAGGACATGTCCCCTGCCTACCAGAACATGTTCCCTTCCTGCTAGGACATACCCCTTGCCTGTTGGGGCATGCCCTCTGCCTACTAGGACATGCCCCCTGCCTGCCAGGACATAACCATGCCTGCCAGGACACGCCCTCTTCTTGCCAGGACCTATGCCCTATCTGCCAGGACATGCCCCTGTATGCCAGGACATGCCCCCTTCCTGCCAGGGACATCCCACCTTCCCTGCTGTGGACAACTCCCTTGCCCTGATTGCCAGGGACTTACTTTATCCCTAGAGAATCTCCACATGCCCAGAGGAGGTCCTTTACCTCTAAGGAGAGGCCTCAGTCACTCTGTTCCACTCGCTTTCCCCCGTTCCCAGCCGGCCCCTTCGCAGGAATCCAAAAACGCGGTACTAGGGGGTCCCTCTCACTTAGGGGGTCCGAGATGCCGGCTCCCGTGGCTCGTCTGCGTTGCTCCTCCGCGTGGCCCGTCTCACGCTGATCCTAGGGTCCGGTAGCCAGCAAATCCCGAGGGTCCCTCGAAGCAGGTGGTCGCGCTGTCCAGCTGTCCAGGGTTCCTCTTTGGGCGTGGCTATCCCGGACCGAGCCCCCAAATTGAAATGAACGGGGTCTATGCCTTTATTAATAGTCAGCTCTTTATTAAAAAGTCAGCTCGGCAGGGGGCTCAACAAGGAGCTCGCCCCCGCTGTTGTAGCTTCTCCGGCCGCCGAAGGGTGAGCAGGCGTGCAGAGTCTGTCCCTGGAGTCTCCGTGGCACGCTGGTAGCTGGAGGTGAAGAGGTGTGCAGTCCGTATCTGAAGTCCCAGCAGACCGTCCTCTCTCCTTTCCTCCCGGCACACTGGTAGCTGCAGGGTGGGGGGGATGTGCAGAGCCTGCTGCCAAAGCCCAGCAGCAGCTGTCCCTCTCCTTCCCTCCTGGCAGCACCAGGAAGTGTCTGACTGCTTTGCTCCTGCTTCCCACAGCCCAGTCTAGTCTGGTCCTCTGTAGGTTATGGTGACAGGTCAAACACAGACTAGGGATGGGGTTCCCTTTTCCCCAACCAGCACACCCATCCAGCCCCGTCCACTGTGCCCATCTTTTCCATTTAGGGGTGTTTTTCATCCCCAACCCCCTCCCACGATTCCACTGGATTATTTTGCATCCCAGTCCTAGAATGGTAGTGAGGGTGGGGGGAGGTAGGTGATTCCCAGGAACAATTAGCTAATTAACATTTCTCAATGTCAGTACTTAGCCCAAGCCAAGTATCCCAGCCAGGCTGTTTTGTTCATAACACCAAATAAGCTTCTACTGCGTTTTGTATGCTGGCTAACAAAAGAAATACCAAACTTTACTTTCATTTTGGGACCAGATTGGACAGATATAAAGTTTAAAAGTCGAAAATGGTGAACATAAAGCTTCTCTATTTATTCCGATATTTTTAAAAGCTCGAAAACAGATTTTAGAAGCAAAAAAAAAGCATAGAGACACAGACTAACAGTCTGAATAACCCCTTTTCCCCTCCCTATTCACCCCCTCGATACCCCAGCCCTGATATCGCTTAACCCACCCTGTACCCCCCTGTAACACCTGGTTCTTCTGAGAAATCTAGTCCGGCAGTGTTTGTGTCTCAAGCAGGGAACACGTGGCAGCATAATGGCGGTGACCATGTGCTTGTCCCGTCTCCTCACAATCCTTTCCTTCCCCCAGCCACCCACCCTTCTCCCAATCCCTTCCGGCCCCCAACAGCACTGCCCCCCGCCCGCCCCCGCCACCGTCCTTCTCAATGCCTGTCCCTGCATTGCCACAGGAACGGGGGCGGGGCCAGTCCCGGCACAGCTCCCAGCCTGGACGCTGCTGGGGGAGAGCAGGGCAGCTCAGCCCACAGCACCGGCAGCGCACGGGCTTCCCCTGCGGCACAGGCAGCCCGGGACAGTGGGGGTGAGCTGCTTCTCAGCGGGACCCAGGGGGTGGTGGGGGGAGACGCTCCTGCCTCTATGGGCATTGGAAATGAACTAATACCATCTGTAGCACCTGTTGTATACCTAGGTAGGAGAAATGTCAGCAGAGCTTATCAACCACTACCATATAGAGACAAAACAGACATTTGTAAAATACAGAGAGAATTTGGGAGAACAAGTGAGATTTTTAAAGGCATGATAAGGGCAAACTTTAATTCAAATGAGATGGTATCGAAAGATATTACTGATTTATTTAAATGTTTACTAACACCTTCTGAATATGAGATATGGAAAAATAAATGGACGTTAGCTTTAACAGCAGTTTTACAGGAAATACAACAAACACCCAGTAAAGCCATGGACAGTGATGGTAATCCTATTACAATAGATCATCTATGTGGCACAGGGGATTGGCACTGCCCAGAAAAACAAACTCTAGTGCTATCTAGGTCAGTTTTGGATAAAATCTGTAACATTGCAGAAAAAACATTTTATCAGTTACCAGTAACTGAGGCTAAGGGCAGCTATCTTAACATTAGACAGTTTCCTTCAGAGAGTTTTTTGCAGTTTGTGGATCGCTTGAGAACCCCAGTCGAAAGGCAGGTGCAGGACCCTACAGTACAGACAGAACTGATTAAAGAAATGGTTCAGAGGAATGCGAATGAGACCTGTCGTAGGATTATCCTCAGCCTTCCTTTCAACTAATCACCTAGCCTTGCTCAGATGATTGACACATGTGCCAGGAGAGCAGAGCTGTTCGATAGCCCTGACAGACATACCACAGCTGCACAACTACAGCCTGCTGCTGCAGCCGCACCAGGTCCAAGGAGGCAACCAATGTCATCAGACCAGCTGCAGCACATCATCTGCTTCCATTGCAAGAAACCAGGACACTTTGGATACTTCACCAGAAACTGTCCTCAAACCCAGAACCAGAGAAAGTTCAACAAACAAAAAAACGGAGTGCACAGCGCGTGCCCACTGCTAATACAACTACACACAAAGATATAAATATAGCAGGACCCACACGGAAAAATGCCTCTTTCTTAACAAATAAGGGGGAGAACAGAACTCATAGTGGGGGGGGACAGAAAAATAAAAATGTCAAATGTACAACTAACAAGGTTTGGCAGCCACTAGGCAGACCTTGCCTAGTAACTGCCAAAGGGTTACATTTCAGATCCACTGATTGGGAAGTCATTATAGTGGACCTGTCAAACAGCTCACAAGACCTGCAGGTGTACCAAATGGAACCGAACAGTGAGTATTTTGTCACAGGAGATACAGCACACACACCTTCAGAGACTGAAGTAGCTCCCATGACTACTAAGGGAAAGATATCAAGCCTTATGCTGTTGGCACACTGCTTACACCCTCCATTTTACCTAGAAAAAGGGCAAATTTGGGCCGAAGCCATTCCCATCCCAGTAGAAATAACAGTAGAAGGAAAATCACAAGAAGTCTACTGGGCAGAGGTGGTGGGAGAGAATAAACCCTTGATGGCATGCAACCTAGCCCATGGGTCAGAGCACCTTCAGGTAGAAGGGGTTCTGGACACAGGCGCAGACATCACAGTAATACCTAACACCATGTGGCCATCACACTGGGAGTTGCAACCTGTGGCAGGCAAACTTCAGGGCATAGGAGGAACCACTCTGGCAAAGATTTCAAAAAATGTTGTACAAATTGAGGGACCTGATGGGAAATTGGCAAGTGTTCACCCATTTGTGGCAGACTATAGGCTCCACTGTGGGGGAGAGACACCATGTCCCAGTGGGGAGCCCAGTTAATCATTCCTAAGACACCCCAGGATTTTTGGAAGTAGCCACATGCCCTGCCCAAAAGTTAAAGTGGTTGGATAACACCCCAAAGTGGGTAGCACAGTGGCCTTTGAGTATCAAGAAACTCAAGGCACTTGAGAAACTTGTGGAGGAGCAGGTAGCTCAAGGACACCTACAAGAGACAGACAGCCCTTGGAATGTCCCAGTCTTTGTAATAAAGAAGCCTGGGAAGGACAAGTGGAGATTGCTTCACGATCTCAGAGAAATAAACAAAATTATAGAGGACATGGGTCCACTCTAACCAGGGATGCCTAGTCCAGCAATGCTCCCTCGAGATTGGCAATTGGCTGTCCTAGATATCAAGGACTGTTTTTTCCAAATCCCATTGCACCCTGAAGATGCCCTGAGGTTTGCATTCTCGGTTCCCACCATCAGTCAAGAAGCCCCAATGAAACACTACCACTGGAAAGTTTTGCCTCAAGGTCTAAAATCCAGTCCTTTCATATGCCAACAGCATGTAGCATTGCTCCTGTCTCCTGTACATACAGAGAGAAAGGACGCCATCATCTTTCAATACATGGATGATGTGCTTGTGTGTGCCCCCAGTGACTCTATACTCCAATACACGCTTGACCTAGTGGTTGGGATTTTAACCTCTGTTGTATTTCAATTGCAGAAAAACAAAGTTCAAAGGATGCCACCTTGGAAATACTCTGCAAGGACTATTGTCCCGCAGAAATTGGAGATCAATTGCAACCCCAGAACACTAGCAGACCTCCACTCATTGTGTGGATCTTTGAATTGGGTAAGCCTCACAAATAAGGACCTAGAACCTCTCTTCAATTTATTGAAGGGGAGAAGGAGCTGGCCTCCCCCAGGGAACTGACCCCAGAGGCAAAGACAGCAATCGAAAAGGCACAGAAGGCCTTGTCAGAAAGGCAGGCACATCGGTGTGACCCAAACGTGCCTTTCCAGTTCATTGTTCTAGGAAAGCTGCCACACCTGCATGGGTTGATTTTCCAATGGATCAAGGGGCAGAAGGATCCACTCCTAATCATAGAGTGGGTTTTCCTCTTGCACCAAAGGTCCAAGACCAACACTAAGCCACAAGAGCTGATAGCAAAGCTGATTCAGAAGGCAAGAGTGAGGTTGTGTGAATTAGCAGGGTGTGACTTTGCATGTATTCACCTCCCAGTCAGGCTTTCTGAGGAGGGAAGGAACTCTCCTGAGAGACTGACCAAAGGAATGTTTGAGCGTTTGCTCCAGAGCAGTGCCAGTTTCCACTTATCTCTGGACAGCTACAGGGGACAAATATCAGTCCATGCCCCATCTCACAAGTTATTAAATGAGGAATTCCACCTTATTCCTCAAGAGAGAAGGAGTCAGAGACCACTCAAGGCTCTCACAGTGTTCACGGATGCATCTGGGGCTTCCCACAAGTCGGTGATGACTTGGAGAAATCCACAGACTCAGCATTGGGAAGCTGATGTTGAGCTTGTGGAGGGATCCCCCCAGGTGGCTGAACTGGCTGCAGTGGTGAGAGCTTTTGAGAAGTTTTCTGAGCCAATCAACTTGGTGACAGACTCTGCCTACGTGGCAGGAGTAGTGTCCAGGGTGGAGCAGGCTGTGCTCAAAGATATAGAGAATGAACATCTCTTCAGATTGCTCTCAAGGCTGATTTATTTAATCTCTCACCGAGAGCATCCATTCTTTGTGATGCATGTGAGGTCACATAATGATTTGCCAGGTGAGATTGCAGAGGGGAATCACAAAGGCAGACTCCCTTGCTGCACCAGTCGAAAAAGCACGTCTCCCTGATGTCTTCCAACAGGCAAAGCTGAGTCAACAGCATTACCATCAGAATGTGCCAGGTCTGATTCGACAGTTCCAGATAACACGGAGTTAGGCTCGAGCCATTGTGACCAACTGTCCTAATTGCCAGCTCCAGGCCGTGCCATCGTTGGGCAAGGGGGTAAACCCCAGTGGCCTTGGCATCTGTTAGGTGTGGCAGACAGACATCACACACATTCAGAGTTTTGGTCGCCTTGAATGTGTTCATGTAAGCCTGGACACATTCTCAGGTGCAGTGTATGCCTCTGCTCATATAGGACAAAATGCTGCTCGTGCCAAACAGGACTAGTGGAAGCATTTTCAGCATTGGGGGTTCCAAAAATGATTAAAATGGATAATAGCCCAGCGTATATATCCAAGGAATTTCTGGAATTTCTCCAGCAGTGTGGAGTGGAACATAAGACTGACATCGCTCACTCCCAACAGGTCAAGCTGTGGTCGAGCATGCACACCAGACGCTCAAGCAGGTATTGAAAAGACAGAGCAGTTCAGCTCCGTGGATGCCTCCCCGGGAAAAGCTCTGCAAAGCCATGTTTATCATCAATGAACTGTTCATTTGAAAACATGAGTCCACCAGTTGTACTTCATTTTAACAGTGGCAATCAGTTCAAATTGTCTCAGCATCCACTGGTCTTAATTAGGGATCCAGAAACTTGGGAAACCAAGGGTCCCTATGAACTTGTGACCCCAGCTATGTGTGTGTAGATACTCCCTCAGACCCTCAGTGGATTCCCCAGAAGTGGGTGAAACCTATTGTCCCCAAGAGTCCAGGTCAGACAGAAGGGGACAAGAAGCAAGTAGCTGATGCTTCAAAGAGAAGACGCCGCCGAATGGAAGAAGAATTTACCTAAGTGTGAAGTCCTTCTGGCAGAAACAGAAACTTTAACATGTTCTTAAAATGTTTGTTTTTCCCTTTTAGAGAAAACCTACCTTCCACTCAACCCTGTGATGAATCCCATCAAAGCTGTCATCCTGCTAATGCTGAACAGTCAGATAGCTGCATGGATCATCCCTCAGCCGCGTCAAAATGTCTGGGTGACCCTGGCACAGACACTACAGCAGGAAAACATTTGCTTGTCCACTGCAGCAGCAAAGGACCCTATGTCCACCTGTCTGGTAGGAATCCCATGGCAGGCTGGAGAATTTCCAGCAGGCCTGAACAAACATAGGTCCAATGAAATCCCAGAATCACACACCCCCCGACCACACAAAGATCAGAGGCAAGTTAGGGTGATCCTGAAATCCTTAGAAGAGTGGTTGCAAGGTTTGCCCAGGATGGCTCAGGAACCCCAAGAGTTAGAGCTACTGGGTTCTTCTCCTGCAGCTTACTGCGTACATTTTTCTGTCCTCCCAAAACCTTCCAACACTGACAAGTACCATGTTATAAAACAACACCATGGGGAGTTCACTGCAAGGAGGTGGTGTCAGAACATGAGCCATAAGGGGGCAGACAATCCATCTCACTCAAGTCCCAAAGGTCTCCCTAAGGGATTGTTCTTGATTTGTGGGGATCGGGCATGGGCAGGAATTCCATCTCGGCTTTTAGGAGGGCCATGTACAATCGGGAGGCTGTCCGTATTGACACCCAAACAAACTCTAATTGGTGAATGGACTCATAAAAACAAATCGGCAAACAAAATTCAAAAGAGGAGTGCAGAGATCTGGACTCAAATTGTGACTCAGAAAATTTTCATTGGGCCAAGTCAAAAAGAGTTGCTGTGTCCCTGTTCCTTCCATGGGTCACAGCAGTCAAGGCTCTGGGCGAATTAGGTCACCTAGAGTGCTGGGTGGTTGTAGGGAAAGCTGTTCTCCTGGACGGTTTTGATGAATGGAGACGAGAGATCTCTGAAGGTTGCTCTTAGAATATAGGGTTTATTAGGGATGGTGAAGGGTCTTGCTTGGAGCTGCCAGACGCAGCATGTGGCAAGGCCTGAGGTGATGGGGGAGGGGAGAGACAAGGAGTTCTAGGAGAGGATGGAAGATCTAAGAGGAGGGAATTCCAAGAGGGTGAAGGATCCAAGAGAGGGGAAGATCTAAGAGAGAGGAAGATTTAAGAGAGCGTCTGGCTCCTCGGAGACCCCTTATCAGGGGGCTTCAAGGTGGGCTGGAAAAAGGCTTGGGCCAATGGGATTACAGACACTTGATGCTTCAGGGTAGGGTTACAGGTGTGGGATGAACCATACATTTTAGGGGTTGAAATGGAACAGTCCATTTGACTTTTGGATCTAGCTGTAGGTAAGGGTATTGTCCAGCCAGTAAGGGGGGTTGTTTTCATCCTGGCTGTACTATTGTAAATCTTTTGCCAGGCATCCTGCCCAACAGGTAGTCAAACAGGCAAACTTAATGTCTGCTGCCGTCAGCTCCCTCCTAGAAGATGAGGAAATTACCAGACAGGCCGCACTTCAAAATTGTGCTGCTATAGATTTCCTTTTGTTACTGCATAGACATGAATAGAAGGAATTTGAAGGACTTTGTTGCATGGACCTGACTGCAAAAGCTCCGAACATCCATGCTGCCCTTCGAAGCATGAACAGCCTGATTAGACAAGTAAAGCAAGAATCTGAGGATTGGTTTAAAGTACTCTTTAAGGGCTGGGGATTCATGGGATGGTGGACATCTATTGTTAGATCAATTTTGTTACTCCTTGTTATTCTGTTACTTGTAACCTTGGCGTTCAGGATCTTGCGTCACCTGCTTTTCAAAGCTATCAAAGGTCTCATACTTTCTACCTCAGAAGTCAACCACATAGAGCTGGCAAACCTAAGGAGGTCTGACTACGCCACCAACTGTAGGTGGTGGGAAACCCATACTAGGGGTTAAATTGAGCCCAGTGATTTCCAGTAACCTTGTTAAACAAATAAGGGGCACGTGTAACATTGCGCTCAGGCCATGTTTTCCCCCATTCCCCGGGGGATCAAGATAAGCCTGGGCTCCTCCTTCATGCCCCAATGGGGTTGGCAGAGAGCCAGAGAAGCCCTCCCTGTCCAGAGCCTAGATAAACCCCTGACATTTCCTGTTTGCCCTCTTTCTCCTGCTCTTCCCCTGGATCTCATGGAATAAAGAGCTGGACTGTAGAGTTGTGTTTGTACTGTATATCCCCTCATGGTTTGTCCCTCCATATCCCCTCTTTGTATCTGTTTGGTTCATCCCAGTTTTCCCATCAGTACCTGTATGTCCATCAAACCCCAACCCATCCCCCTGTCTCCCCCCAGGTGATGTGTCCATCACCTGGTGACCACTCCCCTTTGTCCAGACCTTTCTGGCAGGGTCACCAGGTAACTGGACCCTGGCTGGGACCCCTCCCCCGCCCCCTCCTCAGTGGTCATTCTCAGGCCTTGCCCCCAGAGAGCCACTCCCATGTCCTTCCCCCATTGGCTGTTCGGGTTTTCCCCACCCCCCTATATCTGGCTGCGCTGGGAAGGGAAACTCTCTCTTACTCTGGATGCCCTTCGAGGTCATATGTGGCCTGGGATCTCTCCTGGCCCTCATTAAACTTTGGAACTAATCCTGAGGAGAGCGCCTCTTTACTTCGCTTGTGGGATTGGCTCGTCTTTGGACTCAAGTGGGAGCTTCTCCAAGCCCCCCAGGATTCAAGAAGCCCTTCCCTCTGCCTGCCTCACCCCAACTGCCCAACTGGCCAGGCTCCACAGGGGACCTGACCCGTGGAGTTGAGGGGAAGACGCAGAACTGGACAACTATACCAGGGTAAGAGCCTCTTTTGAATCTTTGCCCATTTCATGTTCCTCCCCTCAAGGCCTCATATCTCTGGGAGAGCTGGATAAGTTAGGGGCAGAGAGAAGAGGAAAAGTCAGACATCCACACTTGCAGCCCTACGGGGGCACATGTGAACTGAGAGCTGTAGGACACATGCATGGCCATGCCCTGCAGTGCCATTTCTGAAATGCCTCGGCTGCTTCTGAGGGAGCTTGTAAAGACGTTTATTTGGGTCTTTTACGGACGGATGCAAGCGAGATCTCTGTGGTTGCTCTTGGGGATTGAGGTTTATTCAGGATGCATTGTGGCCCTGCCTCGTGCTGTGTAGCAGCACGTGGCTGGGCCTGAGGTGATGGGGGAGGGAAGAGACAAAGAGAGGAGCAGGGACTCCCGGAGGAAGTTCCAGGAGGAGAAGGGAAGATCCAAGAGGGCGTCCGGCCCCTCGGAGACCCCTTATCAAAGGGGGCTCCAAGGTGGGCTGGAACAGGACCTGGGCCAATGGGGTCACAGACACCTGATGGTTCAGGGGAGGGTTACAGATGTGGGGTGAACCATACATTCTGGGGGGTGAGATGGAACAGTCCATTTGGCTTTTGGACCCCTCTGTAGGTGAGGGTTATTGTCCAGCCAGTAGGGGGCGTTATATTCGTCCTGGCTGTACTATTGTGGATCTTAATCGTATTTATCTACCCTTCCCAACAGGAGCTGATATGCCAACATGCCAACATGCCACTGCAGCAGGAAAACACCTCTGTTTTCTGGATTTTGGGCTGCAGCAAAATCTGGCCATAACTTTCTCCTTGTGTGTTGCTCTGTCCAGGTACCCGTCCCTTGCTTTCTCACTATATCCGTGTTCTTTCCCACTCGCTCTCTTTCTTCCTGTCCCTCCAAAGCTTCTTCAACAGTCTCGGTCCTGCCCCAGCCCAGACTTCGTTCTCTCCTGCTCCCTCCTGCTCATTCTGCGGCTCCTCCTCTGTCCCTGCTGCCCCTTCCCGCAGCTCTGCTGCCGTTCCCTGCCCCGCTTTTGCTCTCATTGTCTCTCCATTCTCCTTCCTGTCGTGTCTCTTCTGTCTTTATTTCGTGGCTCCGCGCCCTGTGCCAGCCTCAGCTCAGACTCCCAGGCGAGCTGCCCCGGCGGCCCTTCTCTGCAGCCGGGACACGGCGGGGAGCTCTCCTGCAGCGGCACGACAGCGGCGAATGGGGCCCGGGACAGGCGCCTCGGCCCTCGGGCTGGAGCGGGGACGCTCCGAGCCAGCGGGAGCAGCCGGAGCTGCGGCCCGGGCAGCGGGGCCGGCACAGCCCCGCAGCCCCGTGCCCGCCCCTCACGGCCCGTGCGAAATGGCGGCAGCAGGGGGCGAGGAGGCCGCGGGCAGCGCTGCCTCCGTGCCGTGCCACACGCGGCAGGCGGCTTCAGCAGCACCACAGGTGGTCTGGGGACACTGGTCCCACAGCTGGTGACGAGCTGCTGGGCAGCACAATGCCGCCGAGTGCGCTAAGGGAGAGACTGGGTGTATAGCCACTTAAGGAACAGAGAAGGGCAGTGTTCATCTGTGCCTCCCTTCGGGCAGGAATGGAGGGCCCGAGATGGCACTCAGACCCATCGCCGAGCCAGCTGGGCAGCCTGCCCGGCTTCTGGCTAGGACATGTCACCAAAGACACCCTCCAGCCTGGTACGGCCCTCTACTCATTATGTGCCGCTGCCTTCAAGGTGGGCCGCGATCTGGGCTTGATTCCAGAGGATGGCATTGGCCGAGGTTATACAGCTTGTCAGCTGGAGACTGCTTAGGAGCCTTGGAGGGACACCCTAAAGGGGTGGAAGTCTTTCAGTGCCTCAGTGCTTGCAGCTCTAAGCACCTGGGGGTTAACTCGTGCTTCAGGGGTAATTATACCAAAGGTGCTCTCTAAGTCTTTCCAAGAGATTCTGAGTGTAGGGTACCTGGCACACCTAAGTCCTGAGTGCTTCCATTTGAAAAAAGCTGCTCAGCTAAAAGGGCACCTGTGTGACCCCGCGCACGGGCGGTGTGCATCTGACAGCCAGCTAGCCTGACCCCTTTCCTCGGCGCGCGCACTGTGTGGCCGCTCCCCGCCTCACGCCACGGGCAGGGGGAGGGCAGCGGCTCAACCGCAGGTGGGAGCCCCTCCTCGGCCCCCGCCGAGCAGGCAGCCAAAGGGGTTCTCGCCGTCTGAGTGCGATGAAGGAGAAAAGGAAGGATTCTCTGTCTGCAGTTCCAAGTGGCTTTATTCTTTCCCCGAAGGGAGAGCAGATGACAACAGTGAGACGGAACACAGGCAAACAACCAAAAGCAGAGGATTGCAACAGCTGACAAGGGGCGGGGTGGTGGGTAGGGAAATTTGGCTGTTGGGAGGAGACCGCCTTACAGCCAATGGGATAACGCTAGGGAGGAACTTGAGGAGCTTGAGCTTATATATTATCATATAACCAATAAGGGACATGATGGGAGGAGAGGATAAGCAAGGTACCAATGGGAGGATTGGGGCTCCATAAATTACGTGGAAGGTTCTGGGTGGAAGGGTAAGGTTTAAACTGAGTGACAGGGAAGACAGGGAATCAGGGCAAGAGCACATGAATTGGCATAGAAGGGACTGGAAATAGGGACAGGTACAAGGATTGATGGATAGATACGATGGGGGGCGCAACATAGGAAGTTTTCATTGTTTGAGGAGGAAGGCGTGCAAGTGAACGAACCATTAGAAATTTGTTCAATTACAACACAGTAGAGACCTGACAAATAATAGATAAAACACGCACTACTGCAGACCAGTTAGAAATGTTAACTGCAGGAACTGACATCTTCGTGTGTGTCCTGTGGCAGTAGTACGCAGTGTCCGAGGACAATCAAGAGGGAGCTCAGGGCTTCTGGATGGCTGCTTGAGGGATCTGGGGCACATGTGGTATTTACGTTCGCCACCTGCAGTGACCCGGACACAGGAAAGTTGCAGAGGTGACCTGGCACCCTGGTGTGCCCAGCAGAAGTGTGGCGGTTTGACTGTGGGTTACTGTGGGAGGGGGTGTGGCTGGTGACCTCCCTGCATTGCCATGGGAGGCCACAGATGTGTAGTTTTCCCGCCTCCCAAGTTGTCTGTTATCTGTTCTCCCCTCCCCCAGTTTATGTCAATCATTTTGTACTCCTTCCCTTTGTTCTGGAAAGTTCTAAGTTCTTTGTACCCCCATTGGTTCCTCCCTAGAAACCACTCCTTCCCTCTGTCCCAGTTGGCCGTTGCCATGTCATTCTCCGTTGACTCCACCCCCATACCCTCACCCGGTTGGATGCTCTGTACCCTGACCCTCCTTCCCTGTTACAGTTATATACCCTGCCCCGCCCTGGTTCGGGGCTCTCAGAGCTGGCTCGCCCTCTGAGTGTTTGCGTCCCTTCACCTCCTTCGCCTTCCCTTTGACAAGCCCTCAGAATAAAGCCGCCTGAGAGACTCCCGCCTGGTGGAAGACTCCTTCTCTTTATTACCACCATCGCGTGCCCGAAGTCCCCGACTCAGTCGGAGTGGACCGAGCCACGCTATAACTGGCGCCCGAACACGCTGACCCCTGCACGGAGTCAAGCGGAGAGCGTCTCCTCGACAGCTTCGACTCCGTGAGCCGGCTGCCCGAGGAATTCAAGCGCCGTTCGGACCTGGTTCCACGGACGACCGTGCTTCGTTTCCTGAAGACCCTTCGCCTCGTGGGCTGCAGACACCCGGAGGAGCAGGAACAGCAGCTTCGCGGAAGCTCCCTCGCACTCCGGACCTGCAGCGCTTCCACCCCCCTTTGAGGCCATCTTCTTTTCGACGGGCGTCCTTTGTGGTGAGTTTTTCGTGCCCCGTCTGGCACCTGACCCCGTCTCTTTTCTTTTCTGTTCTCCTTTGCCTCCTTGGGGAATTTTTAGCCGTTTTGACATAATGGGCAACCGTATGTCTCCGGCTCGGCGGGATTTCTATTCCCATGTTAAGTCATCCCTTGTTTTGGGAAATATTTCTTTTAACAAAAGGGATTTAAAAGCCTTAATTAACTTAATTTTTGACCACCTTCCTGACACTGCTCAGGAAGATTTCAACTCGGTTCAGTTTTGGGGAAAAGTTGGGCGTTTATTGTACGATTTACAAGTTAAGGGGAATTTTAAAGTGGGACGTTTCTTTCCTTTATTTCATTCTATTTTTACGTTATTTAAACAAAAACGGGAGAGTTGGGCCCCCAGTTTTCCTAACCCTCATTCCGTCCCCCCCACTCCTAACCCCTTTTCCCCTAAGGGTGGGTCGGGCAGCAGACCCTGCCAAAGTCCGGCACAGGGTTGCCACCGTCTCCCTGCTGCTCCCCGTCCCATCCTGTCCTCTTTTCGACCTGGGACTGGCCACCCCAGTTCGACCCTTTCCTCGTCCCAAGACCCTCAGACCCCTGTCCCCAGTTTAAAACCTTGCTGTTCAATTCCTAATCTGTGCCAGCATCTACCACAAAATGGCGCCGGCCGCATGGCCGAGCTGGCATCAGAAGCGCCACAAAATGGCGTCCCAGCTCCTCCCTACTCCCCTCGGGTTCCCGCCACTTCCCCAGTGACCCCTCCTCCGTCGAGTGCCGCCCCTGCGTCGGGTCCCGCCCCATCTGATGCGTCGATGGTGTCATCGTCGGGACCCGCCCCTTCCATCCCCTTGACCGCGCCCCTGGGTGTGCCCCCGGTGGGAGGGACCGGCCTACAGGAAGGCCACGCCCCTGTGGGTGGGAACTCCCTGCCGGAAGGCCCCGCCCCGGGAGGTGGGCCTAGTCCCGCCTCCCCCTCTCCAGCCACTTCCGGTTCCCACGCTACCGGAACCGGAAGTCGGCCTGGCCAGAAGCAGGCCATCTTGGCCTGTAGGGCTCCACGCCACCGGAGCCCAACGGTCAGGGAGAGGTTCAAGGCCCTCACCCGTCCTGCCTCATCCTCCGAAGAGGATGAGGACAGGGACAGCCCCCGGCCCACACCTAAGTCGGGAGGCGGGTGGGCCAAGATACGGGCGGCGGCCATCGAGGACGGCGACTTAGACCTGGCACGGGACCTCGGGCCTTTTGCGGCACCGGTGGTAAGGGAGAGGGGAAAGCGGCCCCGGTGGGAACAGGTACCATATGCTGAGGTGAAGGAGCTGAGGAAAGCGGCCAAAGACTATGGCCGCGAATCGCCATTCTTTAAAAATGTATTGGACCTCACCTTTTCTGGACGGACATTGGTCCAGCATGACATCAAATACATTGCCAAGTCCCTGTTGTCCCCCACGGAGCTCCTGCTTTGGGAGGTTCAGTGGAAAAAGCTACTGAAACCTCTCATTATAAAGCACAACCTAGCAGCGACCCTGGGCACAGGCGACGAGGCAATGGAGGCTATTGCGGGAGATGGAGAATTCGGCCAGCCTGAGGACCAGATCCAGTTACCAATACCACTCCTCGATGACATCAGAGAGGCTGGCCGTGCCGCGCTGCTGAAAATCCCGGACGGCAGAACTCCCTCCCAAAGTTTTTCAACGATCCTACAAGGACCGGACGAGTCATTCATCAAATTCGTCGACCGCCTCAGAGAGGCCATCGAAAAGCAGATAGAGCACCCTGCGGCGAGGGAAGAGCTCCTCCGAAAGATGGCAGTGACCAACGCCTCTGCGGAGACCAAGAAGATCTTGAGGGCGTTACCGCAGGACCCCGAGCCCACCATCACCCAGATGGTGGAGGCGTGCGTCAAAGCAACATCCACCGAGGTCACGGTCGCCATGGCAGTGAGTAAAGGGGTGGGGGAGGCAATGTTGAATTTGAACACTGTGCGCTGCTTCGGGTGTGGCCAAATGGGCCACATACAAGCGAACTGTCCACACTGGCCCCCGGAGCAGTTTTACAACCCGTATATGCCTTCCCCAAGACCCCCACCCAGGAACTCTTTCCCGCCATACCAGCCGGCGGGAAACGGGCCGCGGAGCGCGAGGAGGGGCCGCGTGAGGACAACAAATGGCCCTTCTCAGCGCCCGAACCTCCCTACTATCCGGGAGGACCAATGGCCCAGGGGACAGTTTCGGAGGATTGGCGGAGCGCCGACGACGGACTTCGCCTCCTCCGAAGAACGGCCAACTTAGATCCCGGCCGCCGCCGGGTCCTCAAGAGCTCCATGACTGTCACCTTCCAGGATGAGGACCTGGTGAGAATCCCCGCGGGGTTCCTGGAGCCCCCTCACTGCCAGGGCGAAGCGACCGTCCTCATCGTCGGAGACGCAAGGCACACACCCGACAGGATCTCCATCATCCCTGAAGTGGTGTGTGTCCCGCCGGGGTCCGAGGTAACGGTCTCAGTCATCTGCCATGAGCCCCCCTACACCTTGGGCAGAGGACTCCCCTTCGCCCTGCTCTATCTGCTGGACTCAGACGACCTCTCTGAACGGGACTCAGAACAAGACCTTCATGTATTTCTTACTCAAAATGTGACTAAAGAAAGACCAATAATCCGGACTGTGCTTTCTTTACAGGGAAAGTCGGTGGCGATGAACCTGATGGCAGACACTGGGGCGGATGTCACCATCATTCCCAGGTCAAAGTGGCCCCGCGACTGGGAGTTAGTGCCCCCTTGTGGCACAATCTCCGGAGTGGGCGGAGCTGTCAACTCCATGCGCAGCCGACGCTTGGTAAGTGTGGAGGGTCCAGAGGGACAAATAGCCACAATTCGACCGTTTGTGGTTTCCTCTAACATCATGCTACTAGGCAGGGACGTATTGTCCCAGTGGGGTGCCCGCCTTGACATCCCTAGCCCTGCGTGGGATTTTTAGTATGGGCCACTGCGGAGCGCACCTCCCCACCGTTGAATTGGAAGACCGATGTTCCGGTGTGGGTGGATCAGTGGCCCCTTGTGGAGGAGAAATTAAATGCGCTCAACGAACTTGTAGAGGAGCAGGTGCGCCTTGGGCATTTAATACCCTCCACCAGCCCTTGGAACACCCCTGTCTTTGTAATTAAAAAACCAGGCAAAGACAAGTGGCGCCTGCTCCAGGACCTCCGCAGGGTAAATGATGTCATTGAAGACATGGGCCCCCTCCAGCCTGGGCTTCCCTCACCCTCCATGCTTCCCCGGGATTGGCAGCTCGCAGTCATTGATATCAAGGACTGCTTTTTCAACATCCCCTTATATCCTGGAGATGCCCCCAGGTTCGCCTTTTCCGTACCATCCATCAATCGGGCGGAACCTTATAAAAGGTATCAATGGACCACCTTGCCCCAGGGAATGAAAAATTCTCCAGTGCTCTGCCAAACCTTTGTAGCACAGGTTCTTTCGCCAGTCCGCCGACTTTTCCCTGAAGCCATCATCTTACATTACATGGACGACGTCCTTGTCTGCGCGGAGACGACCACCTACCTCCGCGCAGCACTTAATAAGACAATAAAAGCCATCAAGGATGCGGGTTTCCAAATTGCGGAGGAGAAGATCCAGCTCTCCGCCCCGTGGAAGTACTTGGGCATCACCATCACGGGAAGGACCGTCGCGCCCCAGTCTGTGACCATCAAAGACGACCCACGGACCCTGCGGGATCTGCAGCAGATCTGCGGCACCATCACGTGGATCCGACCTCTCCTGGGACTCACCACGGAGGAACTGGCGCCCCTCTTCGAACTCCTGCGAGGAGACGGCGACCTGGCTTCTCCACGCGAGCTGACACCTGCCGCGAAGGGAGCCCTGGAGAGAGTCGCGGAGGCCATCAGATCCCGCCAGGCGCACCGTGTGGACCGGGTCCTTCCCATTACCCTTGCCATCTTGGGTAAGTGCCCAAACTTCCATGGGTTGCTGTTTCAGTGGGATGCTGGGCGTAAGGACCCACTCCTCATCATCGAGTGGTTGTTCCTTCCGCACCAGCCCCCAAAGACCATCTCCACACCCGCTGAATTGATGGCCAAACTCATCATTAAAGGCAGGCAACGCCTCCGGACCCTCGCAGGGTGCGATCCGGCGTGCATTTATGTCCCTTTAAATCTGGAACAATTGGAGTCTCTTCTGCAAACGAATGAAAACCTCCAAATTTCCTTAGACAGCTATCCTGGCCAGATCTCAATACATTATCCTAAACATAAACTGTTTAAGGATACCTTCTATTTGGCCCCAAAATCCTACAAAAGCAAACACCAATTAAAGATGCTCTCACAGTGTTCACTGATGGGTCGGGAAAATCCCACAAATCAGTGATCACTTGGAAGGACCCGGAGAGTCAGAAGTGGGAGTCTGACATCCAAATCGTTGAGGGTTCCCCCCAGATCGCAGAACTTGCTGCGGTCGTGAGAGCATTCAAAAAATTCCAACAGCCTTTCAATCTAGTTACTGATTCGGCGTATGTAGCCGGGATAGCAGAGCGGGCAGAACACGCCATGCTCAAAGAAATTCAAAACAAAAAACTGTTCGGGTTGCTCACGGAACTAATTTGGCTGATCTCCCACCGCGAGCAACCCTATCACATAATGCACGTCCGGGCGCACACAGACCTGCCAGGAGCCATCGCTGAGGGTAACCGGAGGGCAGACCATTTAGCAGCGGTTATCGCCACTACCTCTTCTGTACATGCAATTACTAATACCGTCCCAGACATTTTTGCACAGGCAAGGCTCAGTCATGCGTTTTTCCACCAGAACGCTCCTGCCCTTGCCAGGCAATTCAAAATCTCCAAGGAGCAGGCCAAGGCCATCCTCGCCACTTGCCCCAGCTGTCAGTCCCTCGCCCTTCCACCAGTGGCGTCAGGGGTTAACCCCCGGGGACTGGGAGCATTGGAGCTGTGGCAGATGGATGTGACACATTACAACGCTTTTGGCCGTCTCAAATACATCCATGTGTCAATTGACACATTTTCAGGTGCCATCTTCGCCTCTCTCCATACTGGAGAAAAGACGAAAGATGCGAAAAAACACTTATTCATGGCGTTCGCGACACTGGGAGTCCCGAAGGCAATTAAGACCGACAACGGCCCGGGACTCACCTCAAAACAATTTGAAACTGTTCTTGCAGCAATGGGGCATCAAACATACCACCGGAATTCCTCACAACCCCACAGGGCAGGCCATAGTGGAGCGCTCCCACAAAGAACTCAAAAAATTGCTCGATCAACAACATGATGCGGCGCTGGCGATGACTCCGGTCGAGCGCCTTTGTAAAGCACTTTATGTACTGAATTTCTTAAATTGCACCGACCGTGAGCCAGACCCGCCCGTCATCAGGGCACTTTACGAACACCACGAGAGCACTTTTTAAAGGAGCGCCCACCGGTCCTTGTCCGGGACCCGGAATCCCCGAGCCATTACAGGGCCCTTTCCCTTAATAACCTGGGGGAGAGGGTATGCCTGTGTTTCAACAGCTCAGGGACCAAAGTGGATTCCGGGGAAATACGTGAAGCCATTCCTAGAAGATGCCCCAGCTGCAGAACCACCATCGCCACAGGACCCACAGGCTGCGTCTCCCACGACACCGGACGACGCAGTTGCGTGGAGAAGACGGAAGAAGAAGAGGACCGGGAAGCCGTCCCAACTTGGTGTCCCGAGTCCTCATCACCAGACTGTACCACCACCGGACTCGACATCTCAAAATACCCCCATCCCTCCAGTTATCTTTCCCTTACCCCCTTACTTACCCGCTTTCCTATACCCCTGTGCCCTAAATTGTTTCCTTTTAACCCAAAAGGGGGAGCTGGGAGGGGGAGGGAACCAAACCTTTTCTGTATTTACGCTTTCTCTTGTGTTAATAGAATAAGGATGGCTTGCCCAAATGTCATCAATCCGGGAGAAACATCAGGAATCGCCCCACTGCACTCAGCTGGCCGTCGCCGTGGCCTTCATCATTCTTTGGCTTACAAGCGGTGGAACGGCTGGATCGTTCAGCAGCCGAAGGAAAATGTGTGGGTCACGCTCGCCAATCCTTGCAGCAGGACAATCTATGTTTGGCCATGGGCAGTGTGGACAACCCCTTGTCCACATGCCTGGTGGGGGTTCCCCTGGTTGCCGACGATTGGCCCAGTTTTCAACTCCGACCTACTCCGAACCACGGGTAAGAGACCCAACCCGGTTGACACTTGGGACGAGTGGACAAAAATTCTGTCTAATAGTAAGGAGGAACCCCAGGAATTGGACCTGCTGGGGTCCTCTCACGCAGAATACTGCGTCAAATTTTATTATAGAAGGCCAAGTCAGAATTGGCATGGACTTGACTTGGCCAAGAATACGTATAGAAAAGACGTTACACCTTTGAGCAAAAAATATAATAGCCAAACCTGGTGCAATTACACCAGCCAGGTGGTTTCGGTCTCGTCCACACGTCCTAAGGTGTTACCCAAGGGGATGTTCCTTATCTGTGGGGACAGAGTATGGTCAGGCATCCCATCTCGGCTCCAGGGAGGACCATGTAGCCTTGGCAAGCTTGCGACACTAACTCCAAATAAAACCCAGATTTTAGAATGGAGGAAGGAAAAACAATTGGCCCGCAAGAAACGTTCATACAACCAATTCGATCCAAATTGTGATTCTCAGTTGTACAATTGGGGCAAGACAAAGAGAATCGCTGCGTCCATATTCCTTCCATGGTACGCAGCAGCAAAAGCCCTTGGTGAGCTTTCTCACCTGGAGTGTTGGGTAAACAAGAATGCCAACGCTACGTCGGCCGCCCTTTCAGACCTCTTGGCGGACGAACAGACCACCAGGCATGCGACCCTACAAAATCGGGCTGCTATAGACTTTTTACTCCTAGCCCATGGCCACAGCTGCGAGGACTTTGACGGGTTGTGCTGCTTCAACCTGTCATCGAGAAGCAAATCCATTCAGGCCCACATCCAACAGATAAGAGAGCAAGTAAAGGATTTAAAGACTGAGAACCCATCGGCTGCTGACCCAGTAGACAAGGCATTCTCGCAGTGGGGCATCCCCGGATGGGCAGCCCCCATCGTTAAAGGACTTATTTGGATTTTAGTTATTATTTTCCTTATTTTCATTGCCTTAGCCATTTTTAAACAATATTTAGTTAAGACTTTCGGTTCCGCTTATTTAGTTAATAAAGACGGGGGAGATGTGGGAGGGGGTGTGGCTGGTGACCTCCCTGCATTGCCATGGGAGGCCACAGATGTGTAGTTTTCCCGCCTCCCAAGTTGTCTGTTATCTGTTCTCCCCTCCCCCAGTTTATGTCAATCATTTTGTACTCCTTCCCTTTGTTCTGGAAAGTTCTAAGTTCTTTGTACCCCCATTGGTTCCTCCCTAGAAACCACTCCTTCCCTCTGTCCCAGTTGGCCGTTGCCATGTCATTCTCCGTTGACTCCACCCTCATACCCTCACCCGGTTGGATGCTCTGTACCCTGACCCTCCTTCCCTGTTACAGTTATATACCCTGCCCCGCCCTGGTTCGGGGCTCTCAGAGCTGGCTCGCCCTCTGAGTGTTTGCGTCCCTTCACCTCCTTCGCCTTCCCTTTGACAAGCCCTCAGAATAAAGCCGCCTGAGAGACTCCCGCCTGGTGGAAGACTCCTTCTCTTTATTACCACCATCGCGTGCCCGAAGTCCCCGACTCAGTCGGAGTGGACCGAGCCACGCTATAGGTTACTCTGCAGGACACCAGGCCTGATGCTGGCACATGGGCTACATCTGCCTGGAAGGGAAAAAGGATCTTGGCTCAGGAGTTAGCGGGGCTCCTTAAGAGAGCTTTGAGTAGGATTGGAAGTGGAAAGGAAATAAACCATGTTCACCTGGGAGAAGCATGAGCACTGCACATCCATGTTTGCGTGACAGTGGAGGATGGAAGAAGTGCTGCCATCAAAGGTTATCAAACTGTAGCAGAAGTAATGGGAAAAGCAGGTTTCCTGCCAGGATGCTGTCAGACAAAATTATTACCAAAGAATGACACTTGCATTTGGGGTTTTTACAGCATCCTTCATACAGGGCTACTGATGGGGATTTGCGAGGAATAGGACGTGAGTGCCTATGCATTCCCAGGCACAGTGCTGCCTCCCAGAATTCATCAACCCTTCTCCATTTTGCTCCTTCCATTCCTATGCAGAATAAGGAAAATCAGTAGAGGGCTGGTCCAGGAATTCACAGGCAACGTGGGCATTCACTGGGGACTTCACAGACTTCATTATGAGCTCACAGACCCCTGTGTGATGCGAGCTTCCAGAGCCCCACTGTGCTCTTCCGTGCTCGCTCTGGGCAACACTGCAGCAGCAGCAGCAGCGGCAGGAGCAGCAGAATCATGGTCCGGAGCCGCTACCTCCTGCTCCTCTTTCTCCTGGTCCTGCAAGCCCAGAATGCCCAGAGTGCTCCAGCACCTGGGCAGGGAGCAGGTAGGCAGGCAGGGGCCAGCACATAGCCCTGGCTGGCGGCAGTGGGGCCAGGACTAGGGCTGGCTGAGCCAGGAAGCCACCATGGTGTGGGCAGTGGGGCAGACACACCAGGGGAGGTGTGAGTGGCTGCATCTGCTTTAGGGTGCAGCATGGAGAGAGGTTGCTAAGGAGCCAGGAGGTGGGAAGAGGGAGTTCAGGTCCAGAACCTCAGAATGGGTTATCCTTCAATCTGTTCTGGTTATCCATCACTTAGCACTGGTTATCATCACTCAAGCTCTTGTTAACATCACTCAGCAATGGTTGTCCATCACTCAGCTCTGGTTATCCAGCCTCCTGGCCAGGCTCCAGGGCTGAGGCCCCCCACAGGTTGTGTGAGCATGCCATGGCTTTTCACTTCATGTGAGAGCTGCCAGCTCAGTGTCCCAAGGGCAGCCAGACCCCCCCTGAAGCTGTGAGGATACACACCGGCCTGTGCATGCCCTGTCAGTACCTTCCACATCCAGGCCTTGAAGTGTGAGCATGAGGGCAGTGCATGTGATGCTAACTTCTTGTGCGTGTTTCGTTGTAGTTCAGGCCAGAGAGCACTCTCCTCCAGCTCCACAAGCAGATTCTATGCTGATTCCCAGCTGGTACCTCAAGTGTGAGTAGCCAGTCTCTACTGCCTTCATAAGAATCAGCACTCTTTTTCCCCTTGTTATTCATGAGAAATACACCTTCATGGGTATAACATCCTTTTATTAATTTAACATAGGGCAGAATTATGACAAGGGTCCTGAAGAATTCCCCGAAGGATTCCCAGAATTTCCAGAGGAGCTCCCGAAAGCCTTGGATGAAGTCCCATCTGGTTAGTATATCCCACTCTGTTAACCCTGGCACTTGGGAAGCTGAGCTTTTGGTTCCTGGAGAGATGTGCTGTATCCTGGACAGCCAGAAGCGCTCAGTCCGAGTCTTGCTGCAGGGACACTCCATTTCACACCTCCTGGAGTGAGCCATAGAGATGGGCCAGCACAGGGTGTGCTCCCAGTTGTGCTTCCAGATGATTGCCAGGGTTATCTCCAGCTGCTGCTGCAGTTGTTACCATTAGTGGCCAGAGCTGCTGTGTGCGGACATTGGCATCCGGATGTGGGGAAAAAGCTTGTGCTGAATTTGTGTTCACCTTACACTCAGCACAGCATGGAGACAGCAATGATATGCCACAAAATCTTGGCTGCCCCTGCCAAACCTCAGGCTCAGGGGGATGGGTTGAAGCTGGACCCTCAGTGTGAGTGTGAACCTGAAGGTATTCCTTCTGTGGGTCATTTGGTTGACTAAGTCATGGGTGTTTTGGGTCTGCATTTCTTGTTGCATTGCAGAAAATCCAGCTGTCAATTCCTCTTGTCTTTGGGGGCAGTGGGCTCCTCACTGACACCTGCCAGAATGCTCGGGCCATGATACTGTGCTTGTGGTATGGGGCAGTGGCTGCTGGTTAAAGTGTCCAATGTTTTTTCCGAAGAGACGGATTCTGAGCCTGTGCCGGAGACCTTCCCTAAGGAAGAAGATGTCAGCGTGCCAGGCTCAGATGAAGAAAGAGAACCAATACAGGACACCAGCACACCTGCTCAACATGAGGAATATTCAGGTGAGTGCTTGGGATGCTGTCTTGGAAGAAATCAGCATTTCTGTTGTATCTCTGCGGTGCTCTCCAGGGATGAACTGCAGGTGCCCAGCGCACAGCCCTGGCCTGCATCTTGGAAGAAGAGATGGGAACTGTGCTGGTGCAGCTGCTCCCTGGCGCAGCACACTGGGCTCTTCTCCATGAGAACTTTTTGGGATCCCTCTTGTACCCTGGTGCTGAGACAGCAGAGCCAGAGGAACAGATCACTGAAGACAATAATGCTTGGACATCTGAAGCACACTGTGGCATTATCCCTAGTGCAGAGTACAGACATTGTCTCTCGCACTGTCTTTTCTCCTGCCAGGGTCAGCTGCTGTGCAAAAAGCCAAGACTGCTGGACAACACTGTGATCCGAGCAAGTACCGCATCCTAGGGGCAGTAGCAGCTTCAGCTTTGTTTCTGCTTGGGGCAGCAGTTGGGTACATAATCGTGTACCGGCTGCTGAAGAGAGACAAGTGAGTTATTCATTGCTGCCATTGGCAATGAAGTGTTTGCACCATGCTGGAGTGCCCTGGCAGCTCCTAGCAGGGCTCTGTGGAAACCACTGCAGTGCAATGCTTTAACTGTGCTCCAAATTCCTATCTCTGAGGAGTCTTCTTGGAAATCTGTTTCTACAGCAGGACCCAGAAAGACAAAGAGGCAACAGGACAGGACTGGGACTCTTCCTGGGAAAGCCGTGGTGTGGTTAGAGATGAAGCAGAGTCAAGAGAAGGACCAGGAAGCGGCGAGAGAGGCCAAGCCAACAGGTTCAGGGACAGCTGCCACCTGTTTCCTGAGGTCTTTGCAGCAGAGCTTGCCCAGCTGTACAAGAACATGGGCGCAGACTCCTCGCCTCTGCCCACGTGTCCCTTCTGTGCTCTGGCTGGCGGTGCCTCTTCACGGGACCACTGGATTTCCCTGGACTCACCTCAGCCCACACCATCCTGGTGCCCCTGCTACCAGTACCAGCAGGAACACTTTATATTAGAGGACTCTGATTCTGTATAGTGATAGTGATAATGATAAATAGGGATAGCGGTAGTGATAATTTTAGTGGTAGTGATGCTTTTAGTGATAGCGATAGTGATACTTTATATTAGGGGACGATGATTATTTTAGTGATAGTGACAGATAAATAAATATATTTTCAAAAGCAGCACATTTTTACCTGTTGCAGCTGTTTCAGTTGGGGTAGAATGCACAGAGCTGGGAGCAGGGCTGGGGCTCTGAGAAACTTGCACTGCAGTGCAGGACCTGTTTGTGCCAGCCTCAGCCTGCTTTTCCCACTGTGGCCATTAACAAGGCTCTCCTGCAGCAGAGTAAGGACACCCCGGTGAGGAATGACATGCAAAAACTTCTCTATAAGCTCATTTGGGATGCTGCCCTGGATCAGGAAGGTCTGGGCAGAGAGGGAAGGATGTTCTGCGAAGTATGGCTGTCCAGTGCTGAGCACATCAGGGAGACCTGAGATGGTAACTTAGATCATGGGGGATGTGGCAGTCCCTCCCCAAAGAACTCAAAGAGGATCAAGGGTAATTATAGCAAAGGTGCTCTCTAAGTCTTTCCCAGAGATTCTGTGCCTGGCACATTTAAGTCATAATTATTTCCTTCCCAGAAGAGCTTCTCAGCTAAAGGCTAGCTGTGTTAACTCTTATTGTCAGGAATTGATACCTTTGTGTATCTCCCATGACATTACCACATGGTGTCTGAGGACAAGCAAGAGGGTTCTCAGAGCTTCTGGATGGCTGCTTGAGGGATCTGGGGCACATGTGGTATTTACGTTCGCCACCTGCAGTGACCCGGACACAGGAAAGTTCCAGAGGTGACCTGGCACCCTGGTGTGCCCAGCAGAAGTGTGGCGGTTTGACTGTGGGTTACTCTGCAGGACACCAGGCCTGATGCTGGCACATGGGCTACATCTGCCACCAAGAGAAAAATAATCTTTGTTCAGGATTTACCAGGGCTCTTGAGAGAGTTTTAAGCAGGATTGGAAGTAGAGAGGAAAGCAGCGCTGCGTACAAAAGTCATGAAAACATAGCAGTGTCATGGCTTTGGCTTCTGCAACCCCGTGATGGTGTCTGGTGAGAGCAGTGGCTATGTAGAAGGATGGACCTGACTGGGTTAGTTGAAACCGAAATCTTTAATAAGGAGAAAATAACAAAGAGGGAAGCCGAGGACAGGGAGGGTACAGCAAGATATATATGGACGATTGCCAGACCTTGGAACACCCTGGGGGACTGACTCTAACATTGCAGAAGTATTAGGAAATGCAGATTTGTTGCCAGAATGATGCTGGATTAAAACAAGTATCAAAGAAAATCACTTGAAGTTGTGTTTTTTATAACAGCCTTCATACAGAGCTTTTGATAGGGATTTCTGGGATTTCTGAATGCAGAGTGCCTCTGCATTCCTATTTAAATAGCTGCTTCCCAGCATGCATCCACCTTCTCTACCTGTGCTCCTTCGAGGCTTTTGCAGAATGAGGAAATTGAACAGAGGGGAGGTCCAAGAATACACAGCCAACGTGGATGCGTATTGTAGAGCACTGGAAGAGGGGCGCAAGGCCAAATGGTGGTATGAACTTACAAGATGCAACTCTGTTGAATCTGTGCCACTCCTTATGTCCGCTCAGAGGTTCCTGGCTCACTCTGGCACAGTGGTCAGTGGGGGACACTCCCGTTCCTTGGGGGGTAGGAAGGGCGGCTAAGGCTTTTGGCCTTAAATCGTGAGACACTTGTGATGGTGGTAGAAATAAGGACTCGACTCCAGTTCAGGGTTAAGTCCAGGTTTATTGAGGAGAGGTCCAGGGAGATCCACAACCCAAGGGAACCAGCCGACAGAAGCCCCAAACTGGCCTGTGTAATGCAATATACATGCGAGGGTGGAAGCATAGGAGAGGATCACCTACCCATCAGTGGGAATGTTCAGGGGTGTGGGGATCAGGAATACAGACAATCGAGGGGACAAATGAGGGTATTTCAGGGGCGGGAGCCTTGTGCCCTGGCCTATCACTTGATGCCCCTAGTAGAAGTTTCTGGATTGGTGGGACAGGTGATCGAGTGACGGACAGGACACTGGGGAGGAGTTGGCGGGATGAATAAGTATTCTTTGGGAAAACTGGGTGTAGGAGTAACAAGATTGACAGAGAGAAGGGGAGGAGGCAACAGGGGCAGAACTCTTACATTGGGGGAGTACAGGAATGAACCACAGGGAATTGTAACTTAACAACGCAATACAACACTCTGTCATGAGCTCACAGATGCGAGCTTCCAGAGCCCCACTGTGCTCTTCCGTGCTCGCTCTGGGCAACACTGCAGCAGCAGCAGCAGCGGCAGGAGCAGCAGAATCATGGTCCGGAGCCGCTACCTCCTGCTCCTCTTTCTCCTGGTCCTGCAAGCCCAGAATGCCCAGAGTGCTCCAGCACCTGGGCAGGGAGCAGGTAGGCAGGCAGGGGCCAGCACATAGCCCTGGCTGGCTGGCGGCAGTGGGGCCAGGACTAGGGCTGGCTGAGCCAGGAAGCCACCATGGTGTGGGCAGTGGGGCAGACACACCAGGGGAGGTGTGAGTGGCTGCATCTGCTTTAGGGTGCAGCATGGAGAGAGGTTGCTAAGGAGCCAGGAGGTGGGAAGAGGGAGTTCAGGTCCAGAACCTCAGAATGGGTTATCCTTCAATCTGTTCTGGTTATCCATCACTCAGCACTGGTTATCATCACTCAAGCTCTTGTTAACATCACTCAGCAATGGTTATCCATCACTCAGCTCTGGTTGTCCATCACTCAGCTCTGGTTATCCAGCCTCCTGGCCAGGCTCCAGGGCTGAGGCCCCCCACAGGTTGTGTGAGCATGCCATGGCTTTTCACTTCATGTGAGAGCTGCCAGCTCAGTGTCCCAAGGGCAGCCAGACCCCCCCTGAAGCTGTGAGGATACACACCGGCCTGTGCATGCCGTGTCAGTACCTTCCACATCCAGGCCTTGAAGTGTGAGCATGAGGGCAGTGCATGTGATGCTAACTTCTTGTGCGTGTTTCGTTGTAGTTCAGGCCAGAGAGCACTCTCCTCCAGCTCCACAAGCAGATTCTATGCTGATTCCCAGCTGGTACCTCAAGCGTGAGTAGCCAGTCTATATTTGACTTCATTGAATATAGACTCCTTTTCCTTGTGCAATCCATGGGAAATTTACCTTAATACATCAATGATCTTTTATAAATTTAACATAGGGAAGGATTCCCAGAAAATACCTGTGGTTCCAAAAGGGCTTCTAAGAGCATTGATGAAAACTGCATCTGGTTAGTATATCCCACTCTGTTAACCCTGGCACTTGGGAAGCTGAGCTTTTGGTTCCTGGAGAGATGTGCTGTATCCTGGACAGCCAGAAGTGCTCAGTCCGAGTCTTGCTGCAGGGACACTCCATTTCACACCTCCTGGAGTGAGCCATAGAGATGGGCCAGCACAGGGTGTGCTCCCAGTTGTGCTTCCAGATGATTGCCAGGGTTATCTCCAGCTGCTGCTGCAGTTGTTACCATTAGTGGCCAGAGCTGCTGTGTGCGGACATTGGCATCCAGATGTGGGGAAAAAGCTTGTGCTTAATTTGTGTTCACCTCTCACTCAGCACAGCATGGAGGGAGACCTATTAGTTAGGGATGGGTTGAAGCTGCCCTTCAAGCATGTGGCTTTAGTTGAAGGGATTCCTTCTGTGGGTTGATTAAATCTTGGGTGTTTTGTGTCTGCATTTCTTGTTGCATTGCAGAAAATCTAGCTGTGGATTCCTCTTCTCTTTGCGAACAGTGGATGCCCACTGTCACTTACCAAAGGTCATGGTACTGTGCTCTTGGTAAGGGACAGCGACTTCTATTTATGTCCCATATTCTTTTTAAAGAGACAGATCATGAGATTGTGCAGAAGAAGATCTATCCTATGGGAGAAAGTAACAGCGTGCCTGGTTCAGATGAAGAAGCAGAAGGAGTAATGGATACCCGTACACCTGCTCAGGATGAGAGACATATAGGCAGTGAGTTGCTTGGGAGATACATCTTGGGAAAAGAGCAGCATTTCTGTTGTATCTCTGCGGTGCTCTCCAGGGATGAACTGCAGGTGCCCAGCGCACAGCCCTGGCCTGCATCTTGGAAGAAGAGACGGGAACTGTGCTGGTGCAGCTGCTCCCTGGCGCAGCACACTGGGCTCTTCTCCATGAGAACTTTTTGGGATCCCTCTTGTGCCCTGGTGCTGAGACAGCAGAGCCAGAGGAACAGATCACTGAAGACAATAATGCTTGGGCATCTGAAGCACACTGTGGCATTATCCCTAGTGCAGAGTACAGACATTGTCTCTCGCATTGTCTTTTCTCCTGCCAGGGTCAGCTGCTGTGCAAAAAGCCAAGACTGCTGGACAGTTGGAATTTAGTAAGAACTACATTCTAGTGTCTGCAGCAGTCTCGGCTCTGCTGCTGCTTGCAGCAGTGGTTGGGTACATAATCGTGTACGAGCTGCTGAAGAGAGACAAGTGAGTTGGCCTTTCCCTTGAGTTATTTATTGCTGGTGTGTATAATTAAGTGTTTGCTGGAGTGCCAAGATAGCTCCTGGCAGTGCTCTGCAGAAACCTCCACCATGCAGTCCTTTGACTGCTTTTATTTCACATCTGAGGAGTCTTCTCGGAAATCTATTTCTACAGGAGGATTCAGGGAGACAAAGAAGCATCAATGGAATCCAACACTTACTCTGTTTGGGACAGCAAAGATCATAGCAAAATTAAAGGTGAAGCAGAATGAGGAGATTGCCGAGGAGAGATCAAGAGAGCCCAAACAAACAAGTTCAACCACAGTTGCTGCCTGTCACTAGAGATCTCTGAGGCAAAGCTTGCCCAACTGTATGAAACTATGGATGCAGGCCCCCCAGCCTCTGCCTGCCTCTTTCAGCTGCCATTTGTCTGATGAGACCTTTTCACAGGTGTTCTAGGTGACCTAGGTGGTTTATATAGATATATTTATGTATTTATTATATTTCCTATATGTCCATACATGCAGTCTGCATCACTGTGTTTATAAGACCCAAAAACCCACAAAACAAAACCTATGTGTTTTGCCCTGGGTTCATGGATGGGGTGATGTGCTGGGTCCCTTGGAAAAGAGGGAATGAACACACACAGGCACTCTTTTATTTCTCTCTGGACTCTGGATGGGATTGCCTGGCACAGGTCTGCCACAGCAGTGGTGGGGGCGGGGGGGTAAGAGTGCCGCGACCTTCCTGAAGAGCGTACTAAGAAGGATGGCTCGGAGGCATGGGCACATCCTTCTCCCAGCCTGGTATGTGATGTTCAGCTTCAGCTTCCTTCTTCAGGCAACGTTGAGAAAAGAGACTGGAGCTCTGCATGGCATTCCACAGAGTAGTAGCCTTTATTAAGAGCAGGGCCCCAGCAGGAGCAAAAGGGAGCCAGGGACAGAAGCTCCCTGAAGCGGGGAAAAAAACGGAGTTTATATAGGGAAGGCCAGGGGTGGAACAAGACAGGTAACCATTGGGGTAAGGGTTCAGGGGCTGGGCACAAGAGGAAGACCAATGGTTAACAAGGGATTAACATAGAAACTTAAAGGCCTCCGAGGGTGGTATTTGCTCACCCTAACTAGAAAGTCAGTATCTCAGGGGTTGGTCCTCCAGGGGAGTGTAACAAGCTTTTCTTTTGCGGGATCTCTGGTCCCCACAACTCCCCCTTCTTTATTCAGTATAAAAGCTCCCCTCAGAGACCTTGTGAGTAACTTCTTAAAACTGCTGAACATGCATAGAAAAATAGAAACAAATAGAAGGACCCAAAACCCATTTTTTAGGAGGGAACCAACCAAGCCCTTGAGTCCCCAATGTCCAAAGAGATTTTCGAACCATTGAGGGTCTCTCTCAGCCTTAAGTTCCTGGACTAGATTTTTGATCTTCTGAATTCGAGTGTGGATGCCTTTGCTGTGGCTGGATAAGTTGAAGCAGCATTACCCCTTGAACTCTTTGGAGCAGTGTCCTTGGGCAAGAAGGAGAAAGTCAATTGCAATTCTGTTTTGGAGTGTGGCTTGCCTGATAGTTTCCTCATTGGACAGGAGGTCACAATACGGCAGATGTTAAATTGGCCTTCTTACCAAGCACACACTTCAGATTAGAAAGCTTACTGAGGGCTTTAGCAGCGTGTAGCATCCCATGAACTCTCTGCTCTCAGTCAATTCCCAAGTCCTCTGCCCTGGTGATGGCAGTGACTAACTACCATACAGGAGTCCTTCTGGGGCGAAAAGACAGACTCCCCCATGGACTTCCCCAGGTTTCTCCTTTCCCTGTTCCGTCATTGGTTGGATACCCCTGGTGGCTTCGCCCTTGCCCTTGGAGACCAGTCCCCTCTGCCCAGCCCTTAGCTCTGTCCCCCAGCCCTTCCCCTTCTTAAGCTGCCTGCAACCCATGGTGGTTCTCTTTCTCACCAGGTTCCCTTTAGCCTCATGTGACCTCACTGGCATAAAGCCTTGCAAAAAGAGCCTTTCTTGCCTCTCTCACTGAGCCAGCTGTGGTGAGTGTAGTGTGAGGGTCTGACTGTGTTGCCTGAAGGTTAACTCAACCTGCTTTTCTACAGGAGATGTTTGTTGGGAACAGGTAATAGGCAGCAGCACCCATCGCTCCTTCTGCTGCATTTTTAATGCAGCGGCAACCCAGGGTGGAAAAATGGACATCACTACCCTCTTTGTATATGGCCAACCAACAATTTGGCAATTTTCATCTAATTGAGTAAGCTCTTTTTTTTGGCGGGCCAATTTATTATTATTCTGCCAATCATGTATTAGTGTTGAGTTTGGGGTGAGGCTGGTAAGCTGGCCAAGCATATAAAGACCTCCCTGAAAATGGAAGGGAATTCCTCCCCACACCCTCTCCCCATAAATCAAGAACAAACCCTGGGACAGCACACTGGGATGATGAGAGGAAACGGATAGTGTGTTACTGGTATAATTGCACCAGTTAATTGAGGTGTAGATCTTGTTGGTAAGTGACCTGTCTTTTACGTGGATTGATATTGGTATTTGGAGGCAGGCCGTGCTTTACCTGATGGTCTGTAATAGAATTTAACACAGTAGGTGGCCTTGGAAGACCCAGAAGCTCTAATTCTTGGGGTTCCTCTGGTGCATGGGGCAAAATCCCCATCCACTCATCCCAAGTGTCCATCCTATCAGGCATTGGCTAAGGGATTGCTGGCACTGTCCACAGACAAGCACAGGTTGTTCTGTTGAAGAGTCTTCAGAAGTGTCATCCAAATGTTCTCTTTGGGCTGTGCCGCTAGCCAGGCATCCACCACCGATGGTCTCAGGAGCATCCAGAAGAGTAGGAAGTCTAAGGGGGCTTTAGTCCACATCTTCATGAAGAGTTGGTGCTTCTGTGAAGGGGTGTTTAAATGATAAAATGTTCGTTTTGGAGGGGGGTCATTTTCTTCTGACTTCTCTCCCCCACTTTTTCTAACAATTGTGAAAAGGGGATGGATATTGGGTTTATAATGATGAAGAAATTAACAGTTTTTTGAGGTAGTGGTTTGCCAGTGGGATAATTTAGCGCAGTGAGGACACATGATCGGTCACTGGCAGCAGCAGCATTAAGGTGCAGTAGCAGCATTGTAAGTAGAGGTTTCCATGGGGAAGGGTAAATATTGGTTTCATGGGGAAAGGGAAAGTGTTGGGGTAGGTACGCAGGTAATTGGTGGAGGTTTTGGGGCAGGAAGGTAAGGGGAATGGGAGGAGAATAAGAAACGTGAGAGGAGTTTAGCAGCTTTGCTTATTGTCTGTTGTTGGAGGGTAGCAGCTTCATTATGTTTGGTTTGGCGCAGAATTTGATCTGGGCTGAGAGCTGGTGGCAGGACGATTGGGTCTCCACTGTGGTTGTTTTTGCCGGTGTCTCTGTCTCCAGGCTGTGCTTACTGTTCGTCTTGAGGACTTGTGTGGGTGTCAGCAGATAGTGAGTGGTCTGTCGTAGGGGTAGTGTTTACAGGGCCCAGGTATGGTTTTAAGTTTTTCTCTGTGAGCCATTTGGGACCGGATGGTGTGGACACACAGACATACGCTCTCCCCCAGCTAATCAATGGGAAAGGCCCAGATGTTTGTTGTGATTCGGGGTTCTTAATCAGCACCAGCAGCTTCTTGGTGAGCTTAGCTGGAGTCAGATTGGGGAAGTGTAATACAGGGGGTCAGGCTATGAGGATGAACAATTTAGGAAGCTGGTAACATAAAGAGCTTTGCAGAGCCTTATCCAGGATGGCCAGTTGGAAGGGCAGGATGGGCTTGTATCGATGGGCTTGCTGCAAAGACAAGCAGCAAGACTCAGCAAGATCCCTAAAGCTTGATGATGGAGTTCCAGGCCTCTGGCATGAGGGTGTGTGGTGAATCCAGGTCTTTGCTGCCACAGAGCAGGTTGAAGAGTGGTGCAAGGACCTCCTCATTATCCCCGACAGAGGGGATAACAGAGGGAACGAAGAATACAAATCTCGGGGCATCCTGGGAGCGGAGAGGAACATTGAAGAAGCAGTCGTTTGATATCTATTATAGTGAGCTTCAAGCCCCAAGGCAACATGGAAGGTGAGGGCATGCCAGGTTGCGGGGGACCCATATCTGTGATAATTTCATTTATTTTTCTGAGATCGTGAGGGAACCTCCATCTGTCTTTGCCAGATTTTCCTAAAACAAAGACAGGAGAATTCCAAGGGCTGTTGGTCTCAGTAATGTGGCCCTTGGTAAGCTGCTCCTCCATGAGGGCCACTAGGGCATGCAGCTTGGTGTCAGAAAGGGGCAACTGATAACCTGTTAAAAATAAACTAGGCCAGCAACCTTTAAAAGGTGAGGCTGTTTATTGTAAACAAAGACCAGCTGGAAACTACTAGGCCCCAGGATAAGCCCAGGGCCTGTGCAACAAGCCAGAGTAACAATTAACTGCAGGACATGTGGGGCGCTCCCTTGGACTTCGAATTCTGCAGGAGAACCAGGTGCCAAACATCTGGGAGGCTTTGAAGTCTTTTGCACTGCCGGATTGGTATGTTTCTCAATCCTTGCACTGATTGGTCTCTTTTCTGTTCACTGGCTGGTCTATACCACTGTGTAATCCTGACCAATCATTTCAGAATAAGTCCATTTTATTGGATGGCTTATTCTCCAGTCACAGTTTAAAGTGGTGTCGTCATCTCTTGTACCTCATGAGGTAATATTATAGACAGTTCCTTCTAATAAATCTGTTCAGTTCTTGTTATATCCCCATCTAGTGGTTACATACCTGTACATCAGCTCATTTAACTTAACAACTCATTACATTAATTATATCATTAACAAGTCATAACTTTTTAATATTACATTAATTATATAATTAAGAATTCATAACTCCACCTACGAATGCCAACTTATCCATAACAACTCCCCCCTCTAAATCTTTGACTGAGCTTTAGCCCACATCAAAACTTTTTATTAAACGGGACTTTCGTAGGTTTGATAAAATTTTCTCAATTTCTGGTATTTCTTGTAAATTTCTCTGGTGGTTTCCAGGTTTTTTTCTTGATTATTTTCTCGCACCATCATGATCTTCTTGATAGAAGAGAGAAAAATGACACTCATCAATACACCTCCTCCAACAAGTAAGATCTTTTTCCACCACCTTCCTTCCAGAAGGTTGTCCCACCAATTAGACTTTAATAACAGGGTCCACTTCTGTATGGGTACATGTGCCAGCTTTCTGATGTTAGTAGTGATATTTTTAATGGCTTCTCGATACAAGATTCTGTCAAGTTAAGTTTCCACATACACCTTCTTCTTCTGCTAATAAGTAATCTAGTGCTAGTGAGTCCTGGTAGATAACTGTCCTCATCTGATGTGATTGGGCAGAAATTAGATCTAAGACCAGGGCTGGTTGATTAGTTATTATTTCCAGTAAAGCTTGTAACCGGATAATTTGATTTTACATATAAATGGGAGTTCTGTAACCATGAACCATCTTGGGCCCAGGTGGCAGGGCCATATGTGGCAATTAATCTTT